CCCGCCATTAATTTTAAGCCTGGATCTTACACCTACATTCATAAATCCCTTCATTTCTTGCTATACTTTTCCCATGCCATTTCATTTATCCCTTTGTTTCTTTCTAGACTTTTCCCATGTCATTTCATTTCCCCTTCCATTTGTTCGTTCACCTAATCATCTTCTAAATCCCGATCACGATGCTTCATCTAAGCATTACTCAATTCCATCAGATCTATTCAAATCCATCAATTTTTTTTTTTCAATTTTTTAGTTTTTGTCCATTTCTAATCAACATTGACAAGATTCCAATTTGAGGTCGGCGATCTTCAACAAAGATGCATTCTTGCTTCCTGGGTCTTGCTTCATGACTTTCATTTCATCTCAAAACTCAATAAGTTCATTTATTTCTTTTTTTACGTGTTAATTTTTTTAATAGTCAAAGTTTAATTGTAAACTTGCCCATCAGTTCACTAAGCACTGAATCTTCGTTAGCAACCTTGGCCCCCTCACTCGCTCCCTGCACACTTGGCCGCCGATTGCAACTGTCAAATCGTCATCACATCCCTACTAGCATCTTCACAATTTGTTTTCGATGGCCTGTCAATTTTAGAGATGGCCTTCCCTTTTTGTTTTTCACTGTTTCCATTTCAAATTCTATTGAAAGATTCTCTCAACGCCTGACTTAACTACACGCTACGTTGAAAAGATTTGTTGGCCACTGTGAGATACCTTCTATTATACCAATTTTATATAGAAAATTTGTTTTGTTGACCTATTTGCTGTTGAGCAATTCTCTTAAAGCAGTATTTCAATGTTTCTTCGAGCATATTTGAACTTCGCTCCATATGGATTTCAATATTTAGGTATAAAATAGTCAAACTTTTTGTTGATGGTTCTGTTTAATGTTAAAACGGTACTTTTTCATCTGTTTATGAAGGAATTGATTAAAACAGTATATTATTTCTCTGTCCATTAATTTCTTTCTGCCTTTTTGTTATTAAGTAGCACTAAGGATTCATCTTCTAAATTATGTGTTTGGCTTCTTTTAGTCAAACGAGGCTTTGATGCTGAATGAATCCATTGAGTTCCTTAAATCACTTCAGTTGCAAGCCCAGGTATGTTCTTCGTTGGATTTTATTTTATTACTCTTTAATGTAACCTAGAAAGAAATTTTGGTTAACCTACCAAAAGAAATATGTTCTTAAAACGTTACAAAAGTTGTATACAAAAGACTCAGTGGGGTTTTTTCTACTAACGTGCATCAATAAATGTGATCAATATGTGTATGATACTCATAACATATATAGTATGTGTTGATCAAAACCTTATGAATTAGTAGACATGTTGGCTTTAGAAATCTATACATATAATAAGACTTGATTTGATTTTGTTTTTGAGTATATTTGAAATTCATTTTGCTATGTTTGCCAATTTCTAAAATTGTAACATAGAGGTATGGATTTCATTCTCTTTTATTTCTTATATTTAATTATTTTGCCCAAATTGAAACATTTTTCTTATTGCTTCTCTAATCAGAAAGTATAATTATAGAGGTTCTAATATAAGTTTTTTTTTTTATTTGTTTGTTTAGATTTATGAGATTGCATTTAAGAAGGAAACCGTGGGTCGTTACAATACAGTAATATGTTGACAAGGTAATGGGGGATCTTAACTCTTGTGTCAAAGTCCTTTTGTTGTTTAGAGGGTTGTATTATGTTTGCATTGCTTGCTGTAGTTTATGTCTTAGAAAGTGGTTCTAACTACATTGCTTTAGACATTTATTTTGTCTTTTCTGCATTTCTTTGGGTATTTGTTGCATTTTTGTTTCTTTCTTTTGAAGAATATTGGGTGTAAGAAGATCTTTTGGAGGAAAGGATTAGAGTTGCCTTTGATTAATTATAGTGCTTTTGTGTTTGAGATTTCCATCTTGATATTTAAGTAGCTCTTGAATTAATTTGCATTCAAAAGTGTTGAGAATGTGCTCTATTTTTGAGGACAGAAAAGTAGATAATAGTAGATCATTTAATTTGTTATGCATGAGGGGTAGAGAATGATGTGAGTTTAAGGCCAAATTGATTATAGGAGTATCAATTCCAAGAAAGCCTTCTCACCCAAAAAGAAAATGAGAAGAAGAAGAAGAAGAAGATCAATTCCAAGAAAGCCTTCTCACCCAAAAAGAAAATGAG